GAAGTGTAAAATTTAAATATTATAAAAGTAAACCCCTTTATTTTATTTATTATAAAAATGAAACTACAGAGAACTCTACAGCTCGGCCGTTCGTGACCGAGCTGTAAAGTTGCTGAACACGGGGAGTCATTTCGTTCTTCCCCATTGTTAACTGCCCATCAGCGGCCGAGTGGTAAAGACGCTGAACACTGGTAGGTCGGTCCGAGGTTCGAATCCCGCGAACGGGCTCGCTGCATGGGCGTTTTCGTGGTTTTCCCCATGTGTAACGTGTATACGAGCCAGTTTCCCTTAGAAAGTACTCCACGAAGGCATCCCTCCCTTTAGGCAGATAGCATTTTGTGTGTTTGCCATAATTTAATAACCCAATCCATTGTTAACTAGTTTCTTAACACTAAACAGCAGTTCTTATTAATATAAAAAAATGGTCAAATATTCTGTGTGTGTGTGTGATCAAGTTATGATTTAAGATTTTTCAATGCCTGTAAGATTCATTTAAGAATTTTTATAAAATGGTTTTGTTTTCAGGAATTTTGGCACAGTGAATGGCAGTTAAGAAACTTTAATCGTTGTTTCGTTAGTGGAATGTTAGATGTAAGTAATGATATATAAGTTACTGATAATAGTGCTGTTAATTACTTGGTTGCAAGCATTACTAATAAATATGTGCTAGGCAAATTTGATTATTATAAACAAAGGTAATATTCAGTTGCTGTTCAAATTTCAAGGTTTCAATTATAATTATTACAAGCATTGTTTAAATTTATCATAATGCTATTAATTAAATATACGACTTAAGAAAATACTAAGATTTGTGCTTAATTTTGTATTTGGCACTGATTCACACATGTTCACACTTGTAAAATAGTATAAAAACTACACTTCACACTTGTGAAAAACACACATTCACACTTGTAAATAGTATAAAAAAATGTAATATTCTTTTATACTAGTATTTACAAGACCCCCCAAATTTGAATCAAATTATTCAAATTATTCAAATTTGAATCATAAACTGCAAACAAAATCAGTTAGGTAGCGTCAACAGGTATAGTGGTTAGCGTCGCTGACTGCCGTGCCGAAGGGCCCGGGTCCAAATCTCGGAGAAGGAATGGATGTTTATAAATGTGCGTAAAATTGAAAGTGTCGGTGCGGCATAGCGGCGCTCTAAATATACGGCGAGCCGAAAGTCCTGTCATGTGGTTTGGTGGAAAGGGAGAGGGGTGGGAGACCCTTGGACCCGTCCATCCGGGGTGCTCTCCATCAAAATTGGGGGCCGAACTGAGCTAAATCTCACTGACACCTGAAGAGTGCTCAAGGCTGTTACCAACGGCAGGTGTAATCTAGCGCTCTTTGCCACAAAAAGGCACTCCTTGCCAGCTTAGGCTAACTACGTCAGACAAGTGAGCATAAATAACTACAACACAGATGAGCGTACGGCGGCCAGCCACTAGCCAGTTCCTTTAATCACTCGACACATGGCTACCCGTCTGGCTTATGGTCGATGTTATCATCAATGGAAAAACAAATGGCATCGGGTATTCTTTTTAGACGAATCCCGATTTTGTTTATCAAATAATGACTGTCGTGGACATAAGTGGCGGATTCCTGAAGAACATTACCTGACAGTCCATACTGACGATCGTCACACCAGCCCCACACCGAGCTTCATGGTTCTGGGTGGCATCATGTTCGGACAGTGGACAACCCTTGTGCACATTACTGGCATTTTAACAAAGGGCCGGTGCGTAATGCCTGTGGCATTTTGTAAGGGTAAGTTGTAATGCCTGTGATTCGGCCACTTGTGAAGTCCGCTCCCGGTACGTTATTCCAGCAAGATAATATTAGGCCTCATGTCTCAGGTCACATTCTGAATAGCTTCACTGGAACTGACATCCTTCCCTGGCCCTCAGCCTCACCGGATCTCTTTCCTGTCAAGCATAGGTGGGCTGTTATTGAACGTGGTGCACAGAGCAGCGCAGGCGCATACCATAGAGGAACCGAGACAGTCGACTCGGCTTGGAAGGGAATATCTCAATAAACCGTTAATAGCCTCATAGACAGTATGCCTCGCCGTGTAGAGGCTTGTATAGCTGCTTGTGGTGGCCACATTAGATACTGAATAAACAGTTCAATTTTCTTATCTTTATTTATTTCTTTAATCATTTGCATATGTTTCTTATCCCTTGAAGTTGAGTTTAAGAATGCTCCATTATCTATCAGGTACTTTTAAAAACAGCGTTTCCATCCGTTAGCTAAAAAGCTATCAATATTCTTTTACCTCAAGTACTTTGCTACAATATACATATGTGAACAAAGTTTCTTTCCATGCTCATTATCAAGAATTTAAAAAGACCATCGTTGGAAATTTTCATTATCATTTGCACGCAGCTTTTCAGACCACGGATATAAAAAAGTTGTGTTCACAGAAACTAGCCAATGTATGTTACTAAAATACAAAGATTTATATATGTATTCAATGGGTCAAAAGAAAACTGTAGACATTTATCTTACCTGAAGGATTTATTTTATAGTCAAACTGTTAATAGTATATATGTATATATATATATTCAGTAATTCATTTCTGTACGATTAAGTGTTCTAAAAATTTAATCATAGTTTCACTGTGTCAAATGGAAATTTAGTCCATATTTGCTTTAATTTACTTGATTAAGGCAAAGCACACGAGTGCTAATTACCGATGTTCATAGATGCGATATGAAAACTATGTCATGTACCAGTCGCGCAGGATAAATGGATTAGGTACTTTTACTCAATTTGTTTCGTTGATTTCGTACTTATGACAGCATAAAGTGATTTATCTAAGATGAATGCCAAGCTGGAATCTTTATGCATTGTAATACAGAAATATTTGAAAGAAATTGAATTAATTGAATCCCGGGTATAAAATAAATTAAACTTATCACGTTGTAAGTTTTCTCTTAGTGTTTTCTGATACTATTTATACTTATGAAGTGCACTGTGAAATTTTTTACGCCGGTGAGATGTTCCATGAAATGAAAAATTTAGGAAACACTGTTTTATGACACAGATATAAAGTGAAGTACTGAGCATCTCTGCATACTTATTACTTAATAGTAAATGAAACTTCTGGAAATTAATGATCATTTAAAGAAACACAACCAAATGCTATGTAGTAATAACATAGTTTTATTAAAAACTAAAACGTTTAAGATCGTTGCAAAGATTTCAAATAAATACATGTACAAAGTAACTCATATATGAGATACAATGAAAGTGCTGTGAACACTCATTTATTCCTTCACCGAATTTTCATTCATTAAAATAGCACGAATAAATTATTTTTTAATGGAGGGTACTTTCAAACGCAATACAAAAATATTCATCGATTTTAAAGGAAAGAAATTATAGAAGAATAAGTTTTGGTACTTATGTCTTTAAACGGTAGCAGAATGTTAAGTTTAAATTGCCAAAACGTAAGCCAAATCATGCTGAAAAACTTTATGGCGAGGCATAATTATGGTACTTAAAAAGTTGGTATAGTGTCATGTACTAGATTTTATAGTCACAAAAACAGTCTAATCGAATCATCCGTCTTGCCTAGACAACTAGAAATCATTCGAAACATCTTTACTTTAGTACGTAAAAGCGGCCTCTCCTTTCGCAACAGCAAACGTCTTGGCCTCAGATCGCAATCGCATCTCTAGCTTCACAGTGCCATCCAAGTAGAGCAGAATACTTGGAGAGTAAGTTGCCACCTTCTAAAGTTCCATGTGGTCGAGTCATAACCGGTTCCAGACAGATGTAGGGAGTGTGAACAGAACATCCAGTCAGAGCACGTACCCCAGTTAGTCGTGTAATTAAGATAAATTATTTAAGTCGCATCGTTAAGTACATATTAGGGGTATATTAATAGGTAAAATTAGCTTCTTTCAAAACAGGAGGTCCTGTGTTCAAAACCTCAAGCCATTACAGATATATTACTTAGAATAGAAAAACTATTAAACTGTTGGAATAGAAAAACTGTTATTTGGTATAGAAAAACTGTTATCTGTTATTAAAATATTTAAATTCTAATATGATTTAAGTAGTTATACACTGCTGAAACTTCGTATCAAGTGTAAAACGCATGAGTACTGAAAACCTTTTCCGTGATTATAGAAGCTTTACTTTCACAATGCTAGATTTTTGTACATATGGAAACTTCTGCATGAGATATGCTACTGACACGGTTATTCAACTGGTAACGCAGGCTTTAGGTTATGTTCATTTTCATTCACTACATCATTTTCGGAGGGGGGGGGACTAAGCTCAATCATCTCAACACTACTTGCCAGAAAATATGATTTACTTTTATAACTGTTAATGACAATATAAATAAGTTATATTCTTCTCCTTTAAAATGCATCATGCTACCTTTTTATTAATTATGAAAGGCATGTTACTAGATTAAAAAGCAAAAGTAGAAATTGCACTTGTTACTCACAAGAACTGCTGCTAACTGATTGAGCAAAAGAAAATAGGTAAAGTGATACAAAGCAATGAAAAAATTTAAAATGCAAGATAAGGGGGACCAAGAACATATGTTATAAACTTCAATAAATCGGTTGCTTTGTGGATCTAATTATACCAAACTGCTTAATTCAGTATACAAAATATAAATGCAACGTAATGTCATACCAACCTATTTTGATGAGGGATGTTTTCCTGTTTAAGCAGGATTTCAATAGCACACCTTTAGAAACACATGCTTAAGATACAAAGCTTATATGTAGTACTTTTATAACACTCTGTTTAACCTTTTATCATTTATACTATCATGTATTAGATCTTAAATTTAAAATTACTTTTAATTTACTGATCAAACATTTTGCAGCATATTTGCAAACATTACTGATAAATAATCAATTAAGCATTGAAATTAAAAGCAGAATATAATTCTTTGCTGTTCAATATCTGAAGAATTCGACACAATAAGGTAAATCTCATTAGCGAATATTCTTCTAGAATTTTGTTTTCACATCTCTTTCCACAAGAACATATTCATTGAAGGTAAGTCTTTACACTTTATGATGGGGTTTCTGAAAAGTAGAAAGTAAATAATTAAAGACTGTAATTAACTCTCTCCGTCAGTTAAAAAAATATAAAAAATTATATTGCATGAAATATCAAAATGTAACTCTTGTTAATTAAAACTGAATGTCTTACTGTTAAACTATATAACAATACGCTACAATGATAATATCACATTTGCTTCTCATTTTCATCATAAAGCCACTATGAAAGGTTTATTTTAATTTAAAAGTTTGCTTGTGTTAAAATCTGTCCTCTTCTCTTACTGTTTTGCTTTCTACAACCAACATATGTAAATCAGACAAGTTCACAAGAATTTGAATAAGGAGAATGAGGACTGACATTGCCAGGAAACTTCAAGCAAATCTTCTGGTAGTGACCGACATTCCTCTGAGCTGTTAAGTTCCCGTTTTCGCGGTTGATTACTAAGCATAAATTTTAGTTCCTTTTATTTTACTGTTGTTTCCATTCAGAGCTATGAGAATGCAACAGAAGCCAAAAGAAAAGTTTCTCTTTCAGATCTGAAGTCCTTCAGACCTGAAAGAGGAATTTTTGTTTCGGTGTAATCATTCTTTCGGAGTAATTTAAGGCAACTTAAGTTTAACCTTATAACTAGCCTTCAAATTGCGTTGATTCTTAAATTTGCTCTTTTCGTTTGAGAGGACATCAAGTTTTCCTCATTAGTACGTTATCTTCACTTTTCCCATCCTTCGCACTTTAATAATTTTATCAATATTCAGAGCTATAGCCATAGGGTAATGCAATTTAAAATTGATTAAATATTGTTATGTAGTTACTAATGTTTAATTTTGTTCTCCATTAATTCACGTACTAAATTCTGTACCAGCATATAAGTCCGAATTCTGAAGACCTATATATGATACTCAATACAGTTGGCTGCAGACATCTTTTCCCATAAATGCGGATTTTAGACAAGTATTTACACTAACAAATCTTCTCAAAATAAGGTTTTGAATTTTATCAAAAATGTTTCCATTTTGTATTCCATGAGTATAAAATTTAACTTTTATAAACCCACGAGAAGCAAAAATTCTATTTAGTAAAGTATTCATTAAATTTTAATAAATTAAACATAGTTCCGTACCTTTACCTGCAAATTCAGAAAGCGGTTATAAGAAAACTCAGGAAATTCAGAAAGCTGTATTAAACATTTTTGGGACAGACAATGAGAAAAATTAACTACGTTGTGGTAGGGAGATGGAGCTACGGCTGACAGCTACACTAGCTGGGTTACTATTTCTTACCAATATTGGAAAACAAATATGTAGATTTAACTTCTTTTCAACGAATATTCCAGAAAGTTAGAGAGCGATTAAATCAAATGATGTCCGTTTTCGCGATTAAAGATTTTGCATTGCGTGAAACAGTACTCGCATTAAGCTTGCTACTGTCCACGAGAAAATATCTATTGCTCATATCTCAAAGAATTTTGGAAGTAAGGTCCAACGATTTGCATTAAAGTGTAATGACTATTTCTCTAATAGGGAGGGAACTCTCTTTACGGGAACCATATGAAAATTAAAGTGCACAATTACGGAATTCTTTTTTCTCCGATGATGAAAATTCTCACATAAAATTATCTTCCTGACGTTAAAAAATCTGTTATTGAAAGTACGTAATCTAAAAAAAAATATTTAAAAAAATAAGCATTTAATCACTTTTCGGAACACCCTGTAAGAAGTATGTAATAGCAATTAATCTATAGTAATTCTGAGAAAACTTTAAGGTGTGTTCAAGTGCTCAAGATATTGCAAGTTTCATGTTTTCGTAAAGAATCTTGCTGGAGGGCCGGCTCCGAGGTATTCGGCGCCCTGTACGAAATCATTTTGGTGCCCCCTTGTATATATCGTATATTGGTACAAATGCTTAACACTCAACAGAGCACACAAGTATGTTTTTCGATGTAATGTATATTTAAAATGCAATAGAAGGTAAAAACTGTACGGGGTTAAAAATGGTAGATGGCACACTGTTGTTTCATCTCACCTGCGCTTGTCAGACCCTAAGGGATGAACCGTGCAAATTCAAAGTAAGAAATAATAAATTCATGTTACTTAAGGCGGTTTTACACAAAAATAGCATTTGGATAAAGGATAATAATGCTATAAGTCCTTAGCACAATGCCTCTTTTTGACTGGTTTAATTTCTTCAGTTCCGGAGGAGTTTAGCCTCTTGTGGTGTTTTCGGCTAGTTTTTCATTCTATTGTATTCCATTTGACAGCATGCTAAAGCTGTATTAAGAATTTTCAAATTTATTAACAGGAATTGGTGCCCCTGTACGCTCGGCGCCCCATGACGCAGAACAGGCTGCACAACCCTGGATCCGGCCCTGGCTGGCAGAGTCTTCGGAAGGAGTGACCTTGTTTAAATTCTGCTAAATTAAACTAAATACAGGCTGCAATCTTTACAGCATATAGGTAAAAAATAGGAAAAATAAAGCAAGGGTGAAATTTATTTCTTCCACCTTCCTGTAACTCATGTAAAAACAACATATAATTGGAGATAATCGTAAACACCAGGGAAGAAAAATCTTATAATATAAGAAATCAATAACTGAATATTACAAATGAAATAACAGCTTAACACATTATCAATAAAAAGTATATCAATTTCGCGTATTTATTTTTGACACTCTCAGCTGTGAAAGAATTTTCAAGTCATTGAATAATTTATCTACAACAAGGAAGCAATCTATACTTTTGAAAAGGAAGAACTATAATTCTCTCTTACAAAATACTTACTCATCGGAAGGCAACAGGAATGGAAACTTTTGTATTGTCATCAGTGCATCTGATGTATCACAAAGCACTCTAGCAAAACTGCTTTTATAAATTTCCTTCAGTTGTTCTAGAGATAAAGAATGCACTCTGAACCATTAATGTCTTCATCATAATATGCCATTAAAACACAAACACACTGACATGTAGATGTAAATTTTAGATAAAAAATATGAAAGCAAATTTCTAATTTTAATTGGGAGTAACTCATTTTATTTTTCATTTTAATTTGAATACTTTCTCTTTCTGTTCTAAAAATAGTAGTAACTGTTTATAACATATTAATCAAAACTGCGTTATTTCACAATTAATCCGTATCATACTATTTTACTTAACCCTGTACTACAGATATTGTTTAACCAATCAGATTAAAGTTTCAATAAAGAACCGAAAATTTTGACTACCTTAAAGGCTTCTTCTAAATGCTTTGTCAGTTTTCACCTTGCGCTTAGCTATTGCAAATTTACCGTTACTTGCTGTCTTCAAGAGATACCGATGTAAAAACTCTTCAAGGAGAAGGAGCTACAATGCTCATTTCATTTCTGTTAAATTCAGTAAAAACATGGGCCAACTATAAATAAAAAAGAAATGACAGAATTCGGCCGTATCTGCAAGTCTTTCCTTCTTTTCAGCAAAGACAATGCCTGGGGGAAATCATTTTCATGCAAGATGGACACGTTGCTGTACGGGTGCAACATATGCTACGACAGAAATTCACAACAGAAAGAGTCATTAGCCGCTACTTTACAACTGCATGGCCACCTTGGTCGCCTGATCTTACCCCATGCGACTTCTGGCTATGAGGTTACCTTAAGTCCAAGGTCTATCAAGGAGTGGTCCAGGACCTGGCTACGTTGAAGGATAACATATCACGGACTGTACGGGAGATTCCTGCAGACATGTTACTGTCTGCTGTTGTGCATACTGTGCAGAGAATGCAATATGTGGTCCACAACAACGGCAGCCACATTGAAACTTATTTGAATGCAAAATAAAAGGTAATTTCCGTATTGATTTGCATTTGCTAACACTCTATTTTCTATTACACAGCGCCAAATATCCCCCTAGCGGTGACTTTGGGAACTAATTTTTTTTCGCGGAATCCTTCGTCCCCCGTCTTGTTTAATCTTCCTACAAAATGTGGCGTCATTCTCGCAAATAGATCGCGCTACAGAACACTGTGAGCACTGTCAGTTTAATTATGGCCACCCGTTTTGTATATATATATACATGCCTTCTATATAAATTCATTTCCTTAAAAGAAAGGAAGTAATCAAAAATACTGCTTTTATTCGAGTTATTATACATAAAAATTTTATATAATTCTGCTTTCTGTATGATCTATATTAATATCTTAAACTAGGAAAAAAATAGCATTGAAAGCTTAAACTACAAAAGCTCGTTTACAACTAACCTTCTGTAAATGATCCAGCTTGATTCTGATTTTCAAACCAGAAGCGGTCGCCTTTTCGAAGGTTTTGAAACTGCTTGCTAATGAGACAAAGATAGGTAGGTCCAAGTAACGATCCCTTCTCATGATATTCGCCTAATGCTCCAGGTATAATATCGATGTCATCAACAGACCTGAATGTTGAATATACATTTTTTACAATTTTAGTATAATCAGAAAATTAAACACGCAAACCTTATACTATAAATCGCAATAAGCAAAGTTGTAAATTAGCAGTTCAACGCGTTTCACGTTAGGAAAAATATAAAATATTTCAGTGCTTCAGATAAAGAATAGATTTATTGACTCAAGATTCCTCTTTCTTGAAATTTCAAACAAAGTCCAAATAAAGCTATTTGGTAGCTTTCATTTTCAAATTTGTATTGTATAGTTTTGAGCTCAACCATTAAGAATGGCATATGACTAGAATATTGTGTTAATTCTTTTCCATCCTATAAGCATTTTTAAGTAGACCTAAGTAAAGTACATTTCTCAATATATTATAGTTATTTTTTCTCCAAACCGATCATCTTCCTTATCTAAACGTTCAAACCCAGAAGGACAAACATTAACGTCAGAAATCGGAACAGTATAAGTAAACCGTTCAGTTTTTTTAATTCAGTTTCTTCTACTGCGTATACAAAAATGAAATTAACAGAAACAAGTACTTAGATGTCAATATTTCGTCGAGTATGTTCCAACGAAATGACAACATGTAAAAACCTTAATGTCGTACATTAATGTAAAAGTGAAAGACAAGCAACTGAAGAGTCACGTTCTTTAAACGTTAAGGATGAATGTGAGTTAGAGTTTTGATCATTAATTAAAGAAAAATTTTCATGCATGTGAAATCTCCAACAAATCTAATTCACAGACTGAAGACGTTCATTACACAATTTTGACAGCAAAGAGATTAAAACTTCATTTTCGGACAAAAATATAGGGCTCAGTGAATGATTTATAAACTTTGGTTTCAAACATAAGTTTCACGTTCCATAAAATACGAGATTTAAAGCCTTGCTCGCCTTGCTTAACCAATGTCTAACAAGTCACGAAAGAAGCTACATAAGAAATGCTACATACGATGTACCACAGAAGTTCATATCAGGAAAAGAGATTTTAAATACCGAAATACGAATTCTTTTAATAGGGGGAAAGAAGCGAAAGTTAAATGTCAATAAAATATGGGTAATTTTTGTAACTAGAATTACTAACTACTAAATATTTATGATCATTCGAGACGATAAAAAATGCTTCCATGTAATGCAGGGTTTCTTAAACTGTGGGTCGCCAAAAATTTTAGCAGTTTTGATATTTCTCTAACTTATCATAATAATTTTATAATTACCAAATATGTTAACACAATGTATTGAAAATAGATAAAGGTAAGACAATACAGACAAAGAAAAAGACGAAAACGTTTCGACGCATTCTTTTTATAATTTAAACTTTCATTTTTCTTGCTTTGCACGTGACGCTGTCATTTCGTCTATCACTTATTTAAATTTTTCACATTATTCTATGTCTTAAAATTAGAAATTAAAGTTAATGACCTGAAACTGCAGTAGTATATTACAGTTCAAGTGAAAAATTGACAGTTTCACTCACGCGTGTGTCGGATTTGCGCAATACTTATGCGGTCCCACAAAATTTTTGTAAATATTATTATTATATTGGGGGTCACGAAAAAATCTCAGTGATAAAAAGGGGTCGCGACCGAAAAAAGTTTAAGAAACTCTGAGTAATGAGTTGAAAGTTTTGTAACTACTTGGTCATTAATTTGTATTGAGAAATCTCTAGCAGTTATATCCGTTTTTATTTTCTGAGATCTTGGTCAAGAGAAGACTTGGACAAAAAAAAACTTTTAGTATACACACACACACACACACACACGCAAGCAATAAAAAAAAAAAAAAAAAAAAAAAAAAAAAAAGAAATGGCATTTCGACAATATTTTTCTGGCTTCGATCAGTCCGGATTTATTACAATCTGCTTTGTAAACTTCAAAGGAAACTAAAGTTTAATTGAGCAAAATAAAAATTAATTCTAAAAAAAATGAAATATGCATCAAAATCATCAATTTATGCATCAAAAAATTCTTTTTCATGCATAAATTGTATATTTTCCCTTTATACAGATCAGTACTTTTATGCGTTCTTTTACGTTATGCAAAAAGATATGCACTTTTATTTTTATCTGGGGTTTCTCAAGCACAGGCCATTTATTTTTCATCCCTGACAGCTACGGCAAGAGAAGGTGTAGTGACTACCAACGCAGTGGAAATTGGACAATAATTTGGTTTCAGTGTGTTGAATTTCGTCATTCTAGTATTTGATTGCATGAAAGCGAACACTAATCAACTAGATAATGAAACGCTTATAAGCATAGAAGCACAATGGGCTTATGAGGAAGCACAACGTAAACGACTGCTACGTTGAAATGCCTGGAAGAGAATTAACAGCTGAACAACAATAAAAAATTATTGGAATAGTTGAAACATTGTCAGAGCTTATTATGGAAGCTAATCCAATATTGAACGTATCCTTAAAATTTATTGGACAATAAATGCAAATTATTGTGTCCAGACATCGACACAGCAGTTTTTAGAGAATAAAAAATTAATTACAAAAAATTTGAATTTTTGAAATTTGTTTCCAATAAAGATACTAGAATTCGTTAATCGTGTTTTTATTTATTGAGAAGGAGGAAGAAATAAAATTCTTTGACACTAATTATTTAATTTTGAATTATTTATTTATTATTATTTAGTTCCTCAATTAGTCCGGTTTCAGAAAGTCCGGGATATTGGTGGAATGAAATACCTATGCTATGCGAGGTTTTGCTACATTTTATATGATGGGGGGAAGGTAGAATGAAGCTTCACGACACACAGTGCTATTAAAATTAGATTCGTTACGTTTGATAAGAAGATTACGTCAAGGAGTGGAACTGAATTAGACAATTCTCTTTCAGAAATGAACTGAATAGCAAATAGTAAAATCTACTGAATTCATGACTGAGAGAACTTTAATTAGTCTTCACTGATGTCAAGTTATAAGGTATTGCTCTCGCCTTCTTAGCTTGCCTTCGTGGTGCCTTAGTGGTCTGCACGCTGGGGTCCGCGGTTCGATTCCCAGCGAAGGCGTTACTCATTTTTCATCTTGCCTGCTACAAATAAAACTAATGACTCTAGAGTGGCGGCAGAACTAAAAGGGTGGTGGATGATGATTCTCTGCCCCCAGGATTTGGGGATTGGATCCCCTAAACCTCAGTTGCCCTTTAAAATGGGGAGTATATAAGGTATTTCTCCCGCCTTCTTAGCGTGCCTTGGTGGTGTAGTGGTCTGCATACCGGGCGCTTATTCCAGAGGTCCGTGGTTCTATTCCCGGCTAAGGCGTTGCTCAGTTTTCAACTTTCCGGCTTTCAAAAATACCTAATGTCTCTACAGTGGTGCCCGAACTAAAAGGGTGGTGGATGATGATTCTCCACACCCAGGATTTCGCGATTGGGTCCCCTAGAAACCCCAGTCGCCCTTTAAAAGGGGGAGTATATAAGGTATTTCTCCCGCCTTCTTAGCATACCTTCGTGGTGTGGTGGTCTGCATGCTGGGCGAGCATTCCAGAGGTCCACGGTACGAATCCCGGCGAAGGCATTGCTCATTTTTCATCTTGCCTGCTTTTAAAAATACCTAATGTATCTACAAAGTATAGCAAATGCATCATCAACATAGCTGGTCCAAAATGAAATATTCAATGTTTTAATGTTTGCTTGGTTAACAGAACATTGAGAAAGAGAGATAAGTTTGTCACATTCGATAAATGAACTCCACAAGATCTTTTTATTAGGCATTTCAGGTCATAGGAACATAAGTGAATAAAGGATTTGAAAATTTTGAATCTAAACAGTTAGCTAGTGGGCAAAAAGCCGTAACTACATTCGAAGCAATTGGGAAGAATGGAATACCATTTTATGAAATTTGGGAAAAGCATACTAATTGGTACAATTTGCAGTTGGTGTGATAATTGATTTTTGTAACGGAATCGAATAAATATATACAAATTTAATTCATATAAGTTCATTCATTCCTATAAACAGTTGATTAAGTTTTGGGTAAAATAAGGCATCCAGAAGTGGGCTTTGCTTGAAGCCCATAAAAAGTCTGTTTACACTAACAGGAGCCTAAGAAAGGCGCTGGCTCCACTAAAGGAAGAATAGGGCACCCAGCATTTTTACCTCCTGCCAACCTATATACAAAGGTAAGGGAGGTTATCAGGTTCAATGTTCCGTCTTACTTTCTTCGGGAACATGCAAGGACCTGACTCGGAACAGAGAGCTTACTAAAGCTATGTTCAATAACTGTGGGAAGTAGACAGGATACACAAGAAGGGTATACAAAACCCTTTATTTTTCTCTATTTACAATAATTTCCGTACTTCGGAATACAAAGACCCACTACTCGTGGTCTAAACGTAAGAATATAAAAAATAAAACTAAACTCTAATTTAACTTTAAAATAATAAACGTGGAAGATTGGCCTTATATTAACAGGAAGCCGTATGTAGTACAGAGAACTGTGAACACTACAATACGTTTAAAAGTTATCAAGAGGATTAAACCTCTGGCCTGGAAGGCAACCAGCAACTGAGTAAAACTTCTAAGGTAAGCGGCCTGCTTCGACTAACTGCTTCCTCTCTCTCGCTTGGCAAAAAGCCACAACTTAAATACTTGGCGTTCGCCAGACAAACTTTGCATAAATACATTAACGCTTATAATTCTGGCCGGAAGTAGAAAATAAGAAGTGATAGTAAAGATTTAAAATAAAATAAACGTTAGTAAAACTTAAGATCCTTACAAGGTAACGTTTTCGGTCAGAAATTTCGATAGCGAGTTTTCAACAAATAAGCAAGAAATAGATTCCCATGAAACATTTTAAATTATTTTTACAATCATGTCTGTCTCTGTCTATATATGTATCAGGATTTTTTCGTTCACAATAACTCTTATATGAAACTACCAAAAATTTCGATTTTCCGTTTTTAAGCTTTGTACATTCATATAAAGAGTTGGTTAGACGTTTGGGTAAAACTAGACAATCGGAAGTGGCACTTTAATGAAACCCATAAGAGTTTGTAAT